TTGTATTTGTTTAACGAACTATGTTGTTTTATTGTTTGACAAGCTTTATACATATTGCATAGCTTTCCAACTCGCATACTCGTACATTCAATGTACTTATGCCACTTAGCCTGCATTATTTCATGATGCAGACGCAGGTAACGAGAATCACCATCCAGCGTACTGTTGATCCAGTTGAGCACTATAAAGCCAATTGGTAAGCCTCTTTGCATTCTGGAGGACATCTTTTTATTTCTTTCTAGATTAGTTCAATAGAATGTTGTGGGGTTTGTTCCAACATTCATCTCAGCCAGTTTAGAGGCTTCATAGAAAGTTAGCAGTCTAGTAGTCTTTACTTTTCATTCTTAAGTTAAAGACTTGGTTGCCATTTTGGCCAGTTACGAATGTTTAAACTTTTAAAAAATTTCAGATGATATTATTTTTCATTTTAGATAAGTTTTTTCATTATCATAAGTTAAGTAAGCCAAGGGTTCGCTCGAGACCAGCAATGGTCACCGAGTGCCAGTCCCGCCAAGGGTGTCGGCTCAGGACGTGACATTTCACATGTACTATATAATTAGGACTGAGTGAGTATCATATATTATTTGAAAATCACATTAAGAGTTCTATAAATCACAATAATTAACAACTTAATATAGTTGAAAAGCATATTAAAATGTGATTAACTCTCAAAATTTCACATGAGCCATATAAATTGGTACAAAGATAGTAACATATATTATCTGAAAATTACGTTAAGATTACTATTAATCACAACTTAAAATATTATGAAAACATATTGAAAATTTGATTAAATCACAAAATTTAACGTGGGACATATTAATTCGGACAAGAGATATAACACATATTATTTAAAAATTACATACTTGAAATACTTTTTAAAAATATTAAAAATCTAATTCATTCTCAAAATTTCACATGTTCCACAAAAATCATAATAATTAATAATTTAAAATATTTTTAAAAAATTTAAAATTAATTCACTCTTGAAATATCATATCTGTCAAAGAAATTATTTGAAAAGTACGTTAAAAATATAATAAAAATAATAAATAATAAATATTTAAAAATTTAATTGGCTCTTCTAATTTTATTTATATCACATAAAAAATAACTAAATTAATATACATTGGATCGTGATTGCATGGGCTTTCATATCTAGTAGAGTTAGAAAAGAAATGGGAAAATTATAAATAATAGCAAACTAATAACCTAAAATAGATGGAGTAGCTAGGGTTTGATTTAATTGTGCTCCATAGCAAACGTTAGCTAAAGTTTGCTAGGTGTCTCTCTCCTAAAAATCTCGCTCGCCACTCTCCATTCTCGCTCACCTCTCTCGCTTTATACACAGAAGTGTATAAATTCTATTTCTGTTTTGTATAAAGCGAGAGAAAATTGTATATACACATGCAAAAATATATATCTTCGTGTTATACACTTAATTATACAATTTACAAACATTTTACTTCAAATATTGCAGAGAAAAAGGCCAACGAATTATACAATTGCGAATTATACAATTGCAGTGAAATACAATTTTCTCTAGTTTTATACATCAGAAGTATATATGTTGTGTTTCTGTTTTTGTATAGAGCGAGAGAAAAACATATATCTTCTTGCTATACACTTATAATTATGCAATATACATACATTTTAATTCGATCCAACTGTATGCAAAGCAAATTTTATAAAAATATTGCAGCGAAATAGGCAGCGAATTATACAATTGTGCATTATACAATCGCAGTGAAATAGGATAGCGAATTATACAATTGCAACGAAATAGACCAGAGAATTATACAATTTAGCCCAGTGAATTATACAATTGTATATGTATAGCGAATTATACAGTTTTATGTTTGCTATGGAGCACAATTATGCAAACTTTGATATAGCATACAAATATCAATTTTTTGTTCGCTATATGTGAAAGTTGCCCAAAAAAAATCTAGCTACAATTATTGATATCCTAATAGACCCACCCCTTAGGAGTCTCATTGTAAGCCTATTGTCATGTCCCGCTACTTCACGGTTTAAATTTGACACCAGATGAAGAGTGAAGAGTCAAGAGTTGTAGGGAGGTTAGTGGATGACTCTAATATTCTCTAGGTCTTTTCTTAGAATTCCCTAGAACTTTAGATATTTTCTTGGAAATCCTTAGAAATTTCTAGAAAATGTAGAAATTTCTAGAAAGGGGATCAAAATGTAAATACTTTATAAATTTATAAAATAATTATAAATTACACTTTAGCCCCTAGGTGTTAGTATAAATAGATCCAACCAAATGTAAAGCGTTCCCAGCAATACACAAAAGCTTTTTTCTAAAACTTTCAAAGTCGCTAATAGCTTTAGCGACAACTCTAAGTTCGTGACATTATACTCACCGCTTCACAAGACCGGCCAAGCACATAACATGCATTGTTGAATATTCAATCATCATACTCATTGTCAGACCTCAAATCTATGGATTATCATATAATTCGAAATCATTAATATATAAAGAAAATATTTTTAAATAATATAAGAAAATTTTCTAATGGAACGTAGATAAAGAAATTAAAACATTGGAAGTGTTAATTAATGCAAGATTAAATTGGTATAATTATCTAAAATCGCTTTTACTTGGCTCTATTTGTTAGCTAAATCCTCCTACTCATCACTTTATTAACTAAACCTTTAATTTCATTAGAACACAATAGTTTAAAACTCTTTTTTATTCGATATTATCTTATATATTTACTCATTTTAGGAGCATAAAGGCCTTCTAAAAAAAGTAAAAATATTGGCCATTATGATTTCAAATATTTGCGTAACTTTTTTTTTGCCATTACTCTTGTTCTTCAAATTCCTGCAAATCTAGTCATATTTTTTTCTTTTCTTGGCTCGTTTAGGTTTCTTCTTTTTCTTCTTCTTCACCATGATTGCTCGTTTTTAAGTATCTCAATTGTTGAATTCATTTTCTTACTATGCAGCTTAAGTAATTGATATAGTAATTTTGAATATTGTTTTTTTTTCGTTTTGTTTTTTACGCAAATTATCCCAAATATTAAGTAAAAAGGTTTTAAAATTCTTCTTCATTCTCCCATAAAAATCTAGAATATAATTAAAAGAACAAAATATTTCACCAAATACATAATATCACTACAAATGTCTATTAAACTTAAATTAGACAAACAACAAAGCATAACCTCATAAAATTACTCCATTATCACTAAATAAAAATCACAAATAACAAATGAGTGAAAAAATAAGTTAACAAACCCACAAAGATTAACTTGAAAATTTAACTCAAACACTTCCAAAATCAAAAACTACATAATCGTGAGGTTGAAGATGAAAAATCAGAGTTAAAGACAAAAAACAGACTAAAAAAATAATTTTATGTTAAATTTATAAAATCATATATTTCTATAAAAGAAAACCCTACACACGTCTCCGTAGCGTCATTACAAGTAAGGATTTTCTTTTAAATTAATTTATTTTTAAAATTAGTCTTCCTCTTTAATGAAAAAAATGTGATTTTTATGAAAAGTTGTAACTTTAATGAAGAGTTGCAATTTTAATCAAAAGTTATGACTTTTATAAAAAATAGTAACTTTAATGAAGAGTTACTATTTTAATCAAAAGTTGTGATTTTTATGAAAAGTTGACACTTTAATGAAGAATTATGACTTTATGAAAAGTGACGACTATGAAAGGTTGTCAATATTCTGAAGAGTTTGCAATTTTTTCAAATAGTTATAATATTTGTCACAATAAACATTTGTTTACATTAATCTTTGTTGTTTATAAATAGGGGGATTTCCTCTCATGTTAAAATAACTAAAATTTTGATTTTCTTTTTCTACTTTCGCAAAATTAAATATTTATGCACTTTGCTCATGTTGAGTGACTTACTGACACCACTGTTTTCATGTCAAAAAGTTGGTGAATAAAATAATTTCGAGAGGATGTAATTTTTTACACCTCTGGTATTAGAGGGAAATAGTTTTCTTAAGGAGACATTATGCATTCAGTTCATTTTTTTTACACATCCTGCTATGTTCTTTTACACTCATTAATTTATGCTTATAATATTAATTGTTGTATTGAGTAGATGTTTTAAACTCTGTTTTTTATGTTTCTGCAAAGTTATTGTCTTCGATTATATTGAACATATACATATATAGTACGTATATCCATTGTCCATTAAATAATTATCGTACTCAATTTCAAAAATTCATGTTTTGATATTCTATATTAAATTCTATAACTTAAAAGTACTATATATAAGGTTACATATAATCCTTTTTTACATAAATATAAAATTTCTCACTAATCAATTAAAGAAATTCATTACGCAAGTTAAAAAGTTATAATTGTTTTATGTTCAAGATTACATTCTTTTTTGAACATGTTAACAAATTTTTGAATTTTCTTCTGAGATATATATCACAATTGTATAATCTATGCAATTTTAATTTTTTTTTTAATTACGAAATGTCTTCGTATATAATATTCTTATTTTCTTCTTTATTTTCCTTTTAATAAATGGATCAATGATTTATTATTTCGTGAACAATTCATTCATGAGGGGTTTTTGAGTTATGTCATAATGACAAATAATCAAATTCATGTCTAAGTATTGCTATTCCCTCCGTTTTAAAAAGAGTGACCTCCCTTCCTTTTTAGTCTGTTTCAAAAAGAATGACCTCTTTCTTATTTTGGTAACATTTTAATTTCAGTATTCCACGTGACATATTTAAGATCACAAGATCAAAGGGCAATTTTTGTACATTTAGCCTAACTTTAATTTAGACCCACAAGATTCAAAAGTCTTATTTATACTCTTAAAATCCGTGTCAAGTCAAATTAGGTTATTTTTTATGACACAAAGAAAGTAATATTTTTTAAATTATTTTTAATATATGGATATTAATAAAAACAATTATTATTTATGAGCCCGCAAATTACATCAAATAAAAAAAATTAGCAAAAAAGAAAATTTTGTGGATAAGGTAATCCAAGAATCTCCCAACTCACAAAGAGTATAGTAGTGATTTGTCTCTCCATCCACCTTTGCAAAAACACCTCAAAAAATTGAGGAAGAAAACAGAAAAATAGAAAAAATGGAGGTGGCTATGTCTTTGAATCCTCTTGTTAGATTACCTCTTTCAAATTCAAGAACCCATGAAGAATTTTCAGTGCTAAAACATTCCGTTGTTTCGACAACAAATAGAAGAATTCAGAAGAGGAAATTGTTAGTGGTTGAAGCAAAAGGAAGAAAAGGAGGTATGGCTGCTCGTCAGTACCAACGTATGGCTCCTCCTATGCCCAAGATTGAAGATGATGGAAACCCTAAATTCGTTATTTTTATACGAATGGCTAATGTTAGTTCTCTTTACATCTTTCATTTTTTACTTAATTTAATCCTATGCAATTGTCCCTAAATGGAGGGATTACTTTATTTTGATGTAGTTTGAGCTTATAGCTAGTAAAAGGTTAGTGTGTGTTTTGTCAATTGGGTGAGTAAAGTTTGTGCCTTTGACATTCTTCTTGTTAATTGGTTGAGGGAATGAGTTGTTGTTTCTGTCGGTCTTCTACTCATGAGCTAGCTTTTAAGTTTATTGAACCCCAATATTCAATTTTTTAAAACATAATACTAGACTTAGACCAATCTCAATTCTTTGTTTATCCAATGTTGGCCCTCTTATTCTGTTGTCCGTGCTCTAGATGTCTAGTCTTTTAAGTGTGTTGGAGTGTTAAGTATCACACGTTGGTCGAGAGAGGGAATTGTTATGTTAGTCATGTTATGGTCTTCGACAATTCTCATCTTTTGAGATGGAATAGACAAATGTCCATTTTCTTCAAGATGCTTGAGAGAAAATGCGAGATTTGTACCCTATTTTTTGGTCTTATTGATAAGCAGTCTAGACTGTTATTATCGAAAACTAGAAGCAAAGATTTGAGTTGAATATTCAAACCTTTAGATTGATGTATTTGAATTCAACAGATATAACTAGTTTCATATGATTAGTTAAGGGTACTGAATCTTTTGTATGCTTAAGTAGGCATTAATCTTCACATTGCTCCCTATAGGAGGTCAAATGGAATTGGCTTTGAAATGAATGTACGAAGCTCCGCAGCACATGACTTGTTTCAAAGTTTGAAACTTTGTGGTTTTGTTCCGAACACATATTCTAAACTCAAGATCTTGTTGATTTAGATTTGTGATTGTGGAAAATCTGATTCTTGTTTTGTTATACATCCTGGGCAGGTTTACCTTTGGTACCCCCTCAATATCATAACAGGTGGCACAACTGCAAAAATTATGGTTGCTGCAAAAGACAACTTTCTTGGGAAATATATATACAAAGATACTCTAGCTAGGAATCTCGCAGCAGTGATTTACAATGTAAGTGCCTGTGATGTGTCAGTCAAACATGTCTGTTCCTAATAGATGAGTATGCTGAAATCGTTTTTGGTAGTGGTAAATGAATTAATACCCAAGATAAATTGATTTCTGAAGCCCGCCTCATAGTCTGAGAGTTCGTAACAAGGCAAATCATTCATATTGATCCTACCTTAAAAATTTAAGAGGTACCAGAAACCTGAGTAAATGATCAAGGCCTATATATACGCCTGACATTATTGCTATGTTTATTTTCATTAATTTTGTGGTATATTGTTACTGTGATGCTTTAACTTTCTTTCTATGGAACAGGACGAGAAGGAAATAAAGAAATTGGCAATGAAACAGCATCGTGTATTGAAGTCTGCCACAGAATTTAGATATGGATACAAACTTGTCGTAATATTCTAATTCTCCGCACCATTTATTATTGGTTCGTTTGTTTTATTTTGCACTTGCTAATTCATAGGACACCTGTAAGAGAAAGAGCTAAATTTTTTTTAAAAAAAATCTGTTTGGTATGCAGGAGAATAACAATTTGAGAGCTGCCCTTTCGACCTCAGATGTGATTGAGGTATGAAACCGGCATCCGTTCTAACATTTCTGTATACACAAATAAGGTGGTTGAATATTCTAATGTTAGAGTATGCTTTTCGCTGGATGACATCTTTCAAATCTTCATTTAAACATTTCAGCTTCCGACACCAGATAAGCTTAAAACAGTTGTTGATAAGGTGAAGGATTTCTTCGGAGACGCTAAGGAGTCATTTGGTAAGCTGACAGCTCTTCCAGAGTCATCAGAGGAAGATTCACCAAAAGATAACACACCGTAAGTCGGGCATAACTTAGATGTCTGCCGTTACATTCTTTGACATACTGTATGTAACTAAACGTTCTTAACTTAGCAGTGCGAAGAAGTGAATACGAGCCCCCACAGACGAGGAAAACTGAGGAACTATACTTCAAAGCATACTTGTTAAACAAAAAGTTTTCAGCCTATTGATTTTCCATGCTTTTGATTGATTAGATTGTAATATACTCAAAAACGCTACTGGTATTTTTTGTTAAATAGCGCCTCAGTTTGGTTAGATAAATGCACGAGTCTTTTGTTAATGTTTATAATCCATGAATTTGTCCCCTTTACTCTTTTTTTTTTTTTTTCACCTGGTGTACGATATCCACATTGGAGCTCAACTAAAAAATAAGACGTGTGTTGAGAAAATTCCACATTTGGGGGTAAGGATTTTACTTAAAACTAGGTCATATAAATGTGATTTTGTGCTCACATGTTGTGAATATTAAGTGATTGACCAGAAAAATATAATTAAGTGACCGTTTGATCATGAAACTAAAATTATTTTTATTTCCTTCTAAATAAACTCACAAAAATTCAATGGGAGGATACACCAACCATATGAAAAGATCAAGAATTCAAACACACATTGTTTTACTTTAGAGTCTTGATGTTTACCACATTATATATAATAATTAGTTCATAAATAGCTAAATTTCTTTCTATAAATACAAGCAACATTTATTGGGATTTTTTTTCATCTAATCTTGAAATTAGATTTGGCTTTAGAGTAATTGTTTGGTTTGTGAGAAGTAATTAGTCAAATAAATATCCCCCTTTTAAATAGAGATTTGCTAAAAATTCTCTTCCAAATTTACTTACTACCACAATATTAAAATAGTAATATTTGAGTAAATTTTATTGTACCCTTTCCAAATTTATCTTAATTCGTTTAGTTACTTGTATTATTACTAGTATTTGAAATTTTATTTTAACTATTAATTATTTTACTTTAACTATTAAAAAGAAAATTTATGTATTTGACACATTAAATTAATGTATCTCGCGTATCAGATTAATATATCTCACACATCAGATTAGTGTATCATGAATAAAATGTACATCAGATTAGTGTATTATGTATAAAATGTAATGGGAAATAACTTTCTCCTATGGAAGGGAAATTAGTAGGTTTTAAAAAATAACTACGCCTTTAAGTAGGTAAAATTGACATGAAATATAATGAATGTGCTTTAATTATTAATTATTTTACTTTAACTATTAAAAAGAAAATTTATATACCGTTTTGTTTAAAAAAATAATTTGATATACTCTTTTGAAATTTTTAACAATTTTTTTTTGTCTTTTTGGTGTCGGACTCTTAAAAGATTAGTAGGTAGCATGAGTGTTATTCCAGCTGTTTCTTTTTCTTCTATATATACTACTATATGTTGCTCGTATTTCAGTACAACAAAAGTAACTTTTAATGATAATAAATTAAATACACATATTAATAAAGAGTGTTAAAGTCTTACCGGCATTAGTTAATTGTCATTGAATCTAATATCACTATAAACTTTAATTTAGAGCTATTCACACAAAGTGCTAATTGTTACTAAAAATACATACTCAACGGTGATATAATTAAGCTATTGCCATTAATAAGTCGCCAAAGTTTATGTTTGACATATTGTCTCATCATTTGTCATATTTTCTTACTACGATATTTCAAATTCTTCATCTTTTATGTCGAGCTGATGGTTTATCGAAAACAAACCTTTCTAACACCCACACCCCACGTATAATCGTACGGGTAAGACCAATATCCCACTCTCCCTAGATCCCACAAATGGAATTACAATGAATATGTTATTATTTAATAGCTAGGTTGGTTTAACTCAAATATTAGTCATTTAGGACAAGTTAAGGATTTATTAAAAACATTAATAGTTCTGGGTAAAGGTATGCCTACATTCTGACATTTTGAGACTCCACTAGTAAAATTAGTTGCCCCCGTCCCACCGCGCACACACCAAATTGCAAAAGCTAATCTCCCAAAAAAAAAAATAGTAAGAAACGAATGGAAATGATTGAAAAAAATGCATTACTGGAAAATAGATATTAATCTTACTTTATGGTATTTTCTCTTATTAATATGTTACTTTAAATTAAAAATGTCCTAGAGAGAAGCTCTAACTTGTCACGGAAAAAGCGAATTTGATCGTCACCAAAAGTATGAACCACTGTGATGAAAATTTATCAAGACCATTACCAGACCCCTGACATAGTCTCCTATTTTCATATACACTAGATCAATTTATGCACGGGCCCTGAAAATTTTATTTGATATGTGTTTTTACGATGATTTCACATAATGAGATGTAATTTTATATTTTTCAAAAATGATAAATACGAAATTATATAAAAATTTCACATCATGATTTGAGATAAAAATTGATTTATAAACTTATATTTTATTAATATAACTCTATATTTATATCAAAGCTTATTATTTTATTTCACAAATGATCTTACAATATTGAAGGCCGTTTGTGATTCGGATTTCTCTCGTCTCGTGGAAGTCTAAGAAACAATCAAAATCGTCAACAAAAGCAGAATATCAGGCTATAGCTAACACATGCTTGAGGCCCCATATATTTTTATTTTTTAATTTTTTTTGGGGGTGCATTTTTTAAAAATAATAACTTATATATGTTATTTTTTAAAAAAATAAATAAATTATATATATATATTATGAGTGCTATGATTTCTAGTAAATAAAATTGCAAATAAGATGAATATAAATTTGATTTTCGTAAGAAACAATTCGATGAAAATATAAATAATTCTTCAGAGTTGATTACCTTTATATTTGTCGAGTAGATTAAATTATTTTTTCACTTCAAAATCGATTTGAACCAATTGAAGCATATAAAAGTATCTTTGATTTCTTATTTAGTGGTAAAATATTGAGATTACTATATGATGATTTTTTAAAAATATTATCTTAACCTTGAACTTTCTTAAACATATAATAATTATTCTGATATTGATGGTTTAGATTTATTTTTTGAATTAAAATTGTTAAAAAGAAAGAATACAAGTAGAAAATAATTATGTAATGAAAATAATCAATCAAATAAAAAACTTGATTCTTTTTCAAATACACATATTGTTTATAAGATAATGTTCATGGTTTCAGTAACCGTTGCCTCAACCAACTTGTTTTCGAAACTAAAATTGATTAGATCTTATTTAAGATAAAAAAATGTCTCAATGATAGATCGAATGAATTAGCTAAACAAATTGATTATAAAACAATACTTAATGACTTTGCATCTAAAATAAATAGAAAAATAAATTTTAAATAAAAGTACATATGATAACTTTCGCTTTAGGCCCCTAATGTTGTTGAGCCGACCCTGACCAAAATGATTAGTTCAGCATATGTATCTACACGTTTTCAGTTAGCAGATTTAATTGATTTATAACATATTGGTATTCTGTAAAGTCATTTCTCTTCTCCTCTAAAATTTCACTACTCTTTCTTAAGTAGAAGTTTGGTGATGCAATATCATATCACGATGTGATATCATGAAATAAAATCAATGTTTGGACATACGATTTTACGCTGAAATGGTGTAGTGACATGATTTAATATTATAAGATGTATTTCCATATTCTCCAAAAGCATGATATGGGTTCTTTCACCTACACACCAATGTGTTTAATTCAGCAGATTTAGAGTAGATTAAATGAACATAGAAAGTTCCTGATGAACAATTGTTGGATTCTTGTTGTTTGAGTTGGAGTATATCTTTAATTATTTTTTATTCGTGTTTTCGGATCGTTTTACGAATCTAATCGATTGGATAATGAGAATATTAGTGATCCAAAGTGTTTGGGAAAAGATCCATGGGAGTTTAGAAGGTTTAAAAATAAAAATCGGAGAAGAAGAATCGAAAATCATGTCTGATAGGCCCTGGGGCGCCGCACCAACTAGAGCCCCTCAAGACAGACTCTATCCATCAGGCTCTAGTGCGGCACGCCAGCCAGAGCGCCCGAGGACAATGTCCGTCTGTCAAGTTCTGGCACCCCGCGCCTCTCAGAGCGCCAAGGCCGCTTGGAGACCTCATTCTTCCCCCAATCTTTCTCTACTAGTTCCTAAGTTATGTATCTATGTTTCTTAGTTGATTTCAGCACTCTAAGTTATATCTAAACATCATGAAATCATATATAAACATGAGATCATGATCCTTGGATCCATAATTCAATTCAAGGAAAATTAAGATCAAAGTTAAATAAGTTAAGAGTCAAATTTAAAAGTTAAGAAGCAAGTTAAAGTATGTTCTTAAAGTTTTCAAGATTCTTAAACAAACATTTTAACTTTGTTTTAAGGCTCAAGCTACAAGTTGAGCAAAGATTAATGAGTTAAGTTTAAATCTCAAAAGTTATAAGGGAACTAAGTATTTCCTAAGAGTTAAGTTTCAAGTAAAGCAAAGAGCAAAGAATGATTGTGTTTCTCAAAAGCTACAAGGGAACTAAGTAGTCAATAAGAGTTACTAATGTTTTCACATTTTGAGAAAGAAAGGAAGCTAGACTTCCACAGAGCCTTTGGCTAGTTTTAGATAAATAGAACTATGATTTCCAAGAGAGCTTTTAAAGCTAAGTTTGAGCATTCACCTCAAACCAGAGAAGAATTTGTTTTAAAAATATATGAGCTAATTATTTTTGAGAGTAGTATTGAGTATCGATATGGGAACGCGAGTTCATAACAACTCAAGTCTTCATAAACCATGTAACCAACATGGACAGAGAAAAGATCATACTTTTTAGATGATTCCCTATTGCTTTTTAGCATAGACTAGTGGATGTTGTCCTCTTGCAACGTAAGGTAAAACATTGTACTATCTTTTAGGCTCATAGTGATGGTTGTTCGTTAAAGAATCTCCCAGAGAAACTGTATTACTTTCATTATAAGTAAAGTTGAGTTTGTTATTGTACTATCTTTAATGAACTAAGTTGTTTATTCTGTTTTTACCAAGTTTTTATTATATATTGCATGGGTTCTTACTGCTTTATATTGAGTTAGCATTTCATGAGCTGAATAGAGCCAAGATAAGTTCTTCTTGATCCTTTCAAGCTTTAAATTGTGGTTTAGCATTCCAACTCGCATACTCGTATATTCAATGTACTGATGTCAGTTGATCTGTGTTAGGTTATTAGCATTTTAATATTAATATTTAACATATTAAATTGCTCT